CGTATGAGTTCCTTCCTCCAGTCCCAATGTTCTTCGTAAGGGCAAGAGGCTACTTGTTCATACTTTTTCATAGCCAGTTTTGACAAGGTACACGAACACATGAAGCTGCCTTATCCTGAATCAGACCCTTGGTCCATGAAAGTCAGTACTGTCTCCTCAGACTGCGGCTCTTCAGGGTCTCAGCCGGAGGTCTTTCCCATCACTTCCTACCTGACCCTTTTAACCGGAGATTCAGGGGATTGCACCTGGGGCCTACTGCATGCCAAGCAGATGCTCTGCCAGGGAGCCACAGCCCCTCCTCATACCATAATGTCACTGAGTTTATTTGAAATGCTATATCCTGTCTTATCTGAAGTTCAAAGAATCTCATAGTCAGTCAAAGGAGGGGACCCCACAATTGCAATTAGAGTGTAACAAGCTTTTAAAATCTATATGCTAAATAAAACAGCTTGGAATGTTTGCTGTGTGCTCCTGATTGGCCAGCATCATGTAGGGATAAGGCCCTTTCAGATTTAAAAAAAAAATGGTTCCAGATCAGCAGACAGTCAAGGGAACAGGGGATATAAAGCAATGTGCTGGATTAGACCAGTGAGGGTCCATCTAGTCCAGCCTCCTGTCTCAGAAAGTGGCCAACCAGTTCCTCTGGAGGTCCAACAGTTGGACACAGAGGTGCAGGCTCTCCCCTTATGTTGCCTCCTGGCACTGCAATTCAGAGGTTGACTGAATGTGGTGGCTCCTTTTAGCCCCATGGCTAGTAGCCACTGATAGACCTAACCTCCGTGAATCGATCTAATCCCCTTTTAAAGCCATCTATGCCTGTAGCCATCACTACATCCTCTGGCAGTGAAATCCACATTTTAATTGCTCAGCATATAAAGAAGTATTTTCTTTTGAAAACAAGGGTGGTGGTGAACATTTTCAGACACGAATTCAGAAGACAGTCTCTGCACAGTACTAATTAAAACAATATATTGACCCATCAGCCAGGGGATTTACAAATACAGCATTACAATGCAAAAAGTCACCAAAATTCGGTGACATGAAAAATTCGATCTCTTTTCCCCCAATGGTCTTTCTACTGCTACCACTCCACACACACACACACACACACACACACCATCTGAGCTGCTGTTAAATATTGCTGGTTCTGGTATATGAAACAAAGCAAAATGATGTTTTTAAGCCATTTATTTGCTGTAAGTATTCCTTTAAAAATTAAAATTAAATTCCACCACAATCTCCATGAGAAATAGATGTTTTCAATCAACTATACTCCCCTCCAAAACTCTTCACCTCTAGGGGGCTCTCTCATAAAGGAGACACCATAACTCCAATTCTCCACAGCTGTAGAGGAAGATCTGAAGGGATTTTGGCGGGGAGGGTGAGAGCAGGACAGTATTCAAGAGAGGTGGGAGTAGTTTGCTAAGAGGCAGTATTCCCAGTTCATATGAAATTGTCTTACACTGAGGCAACCCACTAGTTGATATAGCCCCGCAGTGTCTACTCAACCTGCTTTCCAACAAATTTCCCATAGTGCTGTTGCCTAACATCGTTTTAACTAGAGGTGCCAAGGACTGAACCCAAGACCGTCTGCAGACCACTGCTCAGCCCAGTTTCATCCAGAGAGCCACAGCTCCCCACGATCTCAAGCAGAAGTCTGACATCCTTCTCTCTGGAGGTCCCTCCCAGCCAGGGATCAGAAGAACTGCTGCACGGACACAACAGAGGGCCGAGTGTCCATACTGTGGACTCCTACACCTTTCCTACCACCACCTTCAGACCTCAAAAAAGACAATCTCCAACCTATGCTATCAAATAGGGTCGCCAGCCTCCAGGTGGCACCTGGAGATCTCATGGGATTACAACTGATCTCCAGGTGACAGAAACCAGTCCCCCCGGATAAAATGCCTCCTTTGGAAGATGGACTCTATGGCATTGTGACCTGCTGAGGTCCCCCCCCTCCCTGAACCCTGCCCTTTTTCAGGCTCCACCCCCAAAATCTCAATGTATTTCCCAACCTGGATCTGGCAATCCCACTATCAGGTCTCTGGCCTTTTAAGGACTTCCAGGCAACTTCCGCAAGGTGAGCCCCTCATCTAGGGGAAAGGCTAGGACTGGGGATACCAGGGCAGCTTCCCTCTGGTGGAAATTCTCTGTTCTGCAGTCATTACTGCTGCAAATACAGAAACCAGCACATGGGCAATAAGAACATAAGGGAAGCCAATGTTGGATCAGGCCAATAGCCCATCCAGTCCAACACTTTGTCACACAGTGGCCAAAAACACTAGGTGCCCTCAGGAGGTCCAGCACTGGGGCCAGGACACTAGAAGCCCTCCCACTGTTGCCCCCCCCAAGCACCAAGAAGACAGAGCATCACTTGCCCCAGACTGAGAGTTCCTATCTATACCTTGTGGCTAATAGCCACTGATGGACCTCTGCTCCATATGTTTATCCAGTTCCCTCTTGAAGCTGTCCATGCTTGTAGCCGCCACCACCTCCTGTGGCAGTGAGTTCCATGTGTTAATCACTCTTTGGGTGAAGAAAGACTTCCTTTTATCTGTCCTAACCCGAGTGCTCAGCAATTTCATTGAATGCCCGCGAGTTCTTGTATTGTGAGAAAGGGAGAAAAGGACTTCTTTCTCGACCTGCTCTATCCCATGCATGATCTTATAAACCTCAATCATGTCACCCCTCAATGCTGCTTCCACTCAGAGCACTTTTTCCTCGTGCAGCCACTGATTTTCTAGCATGTTTTGCCTCACTATCCCACTGGAGATAACCAGTGTGATGTAGCGGCTAGACTGTCAGACTAGGATTCGGGAGACTTCCATTTGAATCCGTACTCGTGGAAGCTTGCTGAGTGACCTTGGGCCAGACACACACTCTCAGCCCAACCTGCCTCACAGGGCTGTTGTGAGGATAAAATGGAGGAAAGGAGGGAGTTGTGAGCCACCTCGGGTCTTAGGGAGGAAGGCAGGGTATAAGCAAAGTAAATAAAATAAATAAATGGAAGCATTTTTGAGGACTTGAAAACCTCCCAGTAATTACTGTAGTGTCATAGTGCTATAGGAATTACTGTTTCCTTTCCTTTAAAAAAAATAAACATCCTGTGGTGGTGAGGAAAATGGCGGCCACAAGCAGCTGACAGCAGGGAATTGATGCCACTGTGGGTGGGAGTACTGGGGGGCAAGAAAGGGAGATGAGAGGGAGCAGTAGCGTGGAGAAAGGGCGTGGACAGGACCATAACTACAGTGGGGCTTCCTTAAAGGCACAGACCCACAAGAATTTCTCCTGTAAATGCTTTTTCCAATCATTTTTAAAACATTTTTTTTAAAAAAGGCATGTGGTCCTTTACGCAGAGTGGGGTGTTGTAGTTGACTAATTCCTGCCCTGAATAAGAGGGTTGGAATAGGTGACCTCTAGGATCCCTTCGAACTCTGTGTCAAGAAACTGGTCTCCTTTAAGAGAGTTTCTCTGCCTCCTAAGTGTTAGCTTTCTTCATAGAAGTCACCACCCCCACCTGCCGGCTTGTTATCAGAATTGTTGCTTAGGCTGGCAGAAAGGATTAATGTGCAGCAGCTTGAGAACTGTCATCTAAAGTGGTTGACAGCTTGCAGTTCAGAGATCTATCCTGGTAACAGCTTTCTGTGGGCTAAATGGCTTTTCATTCTGCACTGAGAACTTCAGCCCTACCAGAAGAAAAATTGCCCCACAAGCCACAAAACTGGGCATGGAAGAAGTAGCATTGAACTCCTTAGCGGTGGAGCAGGGGGACTGTGGTGTTTTGCTGGCAATAAAGATATATTTATTCTTCACAAGTGAGTCTAGCACCTTTCTTGGTAAGTAGCAGGAGAATGCAAGCATGCCTACGCCCTAGCCTGCTGCAGGCGCCGGTGCTTCGAGCTCTGCAACAGATGCCCTGAACCACAACCGGGATTATACTTTCCATGCAGGACCTCTACTTTGCTCTTCCCAAAAAGATTAGAGCAAAGCAGGTGTGGGAAAGAGCGTACTGAGGATGAGGAAAGACAATTTCCTGCTGTTGTATTGTACTGATAGATTTAAAGTAACTATCCTGCATGTTATTCCTGATAGTTAATTTTTGGGAAAAAGTTAATAAAAATAATTTTTTAAAAAGAGTAAAGGACAATTAGAGGACAACATTAAGTGCATGTCTTTTTTAAAATGCTGCAGTTTGGAAGCCAAAGTGCAGGGAAAGTTCCACGTGGAAACAGCCTCAAATTTAAACCCACACTCATCTGCAAAGCTCCCTGGATGAACTTCTAATTACTCTCCCCCCCCACTAACCTACCGTATAAACTGCATCTGAAGAAGTGAGCCGTGACTCACAAAAGCTCCTCCCCAGCACAAATTTTGTTAGTCTTTAAGGTGCTCCTGGACTCTTGCTCTTTTCTACCTTATAAGGTTGGTGTAAAGTTAAATGAGGGAGAGAAGTACAGTGCCCTGCTCTAACTTCATTAACAGAGAGATGGAGGGGTGTAGGAAGCAGAGATGCAGCGCACGAAAGGAGGAGATACACAGAACGCAAGAGAACCATTTCAGAATCCTTTGTGCCATCTAAGGCATTCCGGGGTCATTCTGGTCGTACAGCGCCTGGCTGCACTGAACGTGCTCCCTCTTTGGTGGCGCATCCACACCTGAGAAACTGCCCGCCTTGATGTCATCAAATTCACAGTAGATCCTTAAGGGGACAGAGACATTGAACCTATCCAGGGCATGACTTTTTGTTTAGATTTGGGGTTTTTTGCAGTCAAGTCACAGCCGACTTATGGCGACCCCTTATGGCATTTTCAAGGCAAGAGACATTCAGAGGTGGTCTGCCATTGCCTGCCCCTGCACAGCAACCCTGGTATTCCTTGGAGGTCTTGCATCCAAGTATTAACAAGGGCTGACCCTGCTTAGTTTCTGAGATCAGATCGGGCTAGCCTGGGCTATCGTGGCCAGCGCAGGGCACAACTAGAACAGAATAAAACTCTTACCTCTAGATTTCATCCCAATAAACCGGTTTTCCACTATGTCAATGCGCCCGACTCCGTGCTTGCCGCTGCAGAGAAAACCAGTCAAGGGTCTCATTAACCAGCACACACGAAGCACTGAAAACCACGGGAACACAAACATCGCATGCGTCTCCCCGTTTAAATCAAAGCCCTAGCAACTGCTTTCTGCTTTTCAGTGGGGGGAACCATGGAACTACAAATAAGGCAACTGTCAGGCCGGAGATGACTTTTAACGTGGTTCAGATAAATTAATGAACATGCCTACCTTTGGCTGTTGGCCAAGATAACCAAATTATCCCTCTCACACCTTTTTACCCTGCCCTTTATCCTTCATACAAAAATCCCCTTCCCCCATTTTATCCTTGGCGAGGCAGGTTAGGCAGAGAGGCTGTGACAGTCCCAAGGGCAGCCGGAAAACTACACGGTCGAGAGGGGATGACAGTCCTTGGAACTTGTGCTTTGAGACCCTGGTTCCTGACAGTAAGTGAAGCCTCCTTGTTCAGAAGCAGTATGTCTTTGAGTACCAGATATTAGAGGCAAAAAACAGGCATTGCTTGCAAGCCTCCTGAGTGGTCTTCTGCTTTTATGATGCAGGACCACCCAATGCTTGACTAAACACACCCTTTGTCTCATCCAGCAAGGAAAATGGGACGCATCTTAGGACACAGGGTTTCCAGTGTGGCGCCCACAGGGGCCATGGCACCTACTGGCAACTTTTCTGCCGCCCACCAAGGGTTTTTGGAAAGTGGGCGTGGCCAGACGGGGCTCTTTCCCAGGGCAGCTTCTGATTGGGCACTGGAGATCTGGTGGGCTATGCAGATTTTTTAAAAAGTTGCTTCAACAGCAGCTGCCTCCACAGTACCAGGATCTTCACCGCCTGAAGGGAAGAAGTCTGGGTATGTGCGAGAAGACGTTTCTTTTGGCAACTGGGTATGTGCGAGAAGACGTTTCTTTTTTTAAAAATATATATGTACATTTAAAGAGGCATCCTGTTCAGCAGAGCTTCTGCCTGAGACACTCTTAGAATTATGCCTGACCTCCCTCCCTGGCATTGTGTGGTTGGTTCCGCCTTCTGCGGCAGCCATTTTGTGGTTGGGCCCACCTCTTTGTGTCAGAATCCCAGAGGTGCCCGCAGGAGGCTCAAAAGGCTGGGGGGCCGCCTGGAGAGGGCACACATCCCAGGAGGCATTTTGGGAAGGGTGTTGTGGTGAGAAAAGTCACCCTGGGCAGCAGCGTTGTACCTTCTGACTGGCAGTGGTTTCCTTGGGTCTCACGGCCAGAAATGATGTCACCCCCACTGGCAACCGGAGTTCTTCAGCGGAGGGTGCCGGGAACTGAGCCCAGCGGCACACAAAGCCACAGTTGCCTTGCGCTCCAGAAAGAACGCCAGGTGTGCAACAACCTGGCCGCGTGCATGCAGGACACGAGGTGGCCAACGCTGGTTAAGGAAATCCTTGGAGGGTTAGGGAAGGCGGGGTTTGGAGAGGTGAGGGGCCTCAGGAGGGTAACAATGACTTAGAGACCGCCCTCCAAAGCAGCCATTTTCTCCAGGGGGAACTGATCTCTGTCACCGGGAGATCGGCTGTGATACCGGGAGATCGCCGGGCCCCACCTGGAGGATGGTGGACCTAGTTGATGCTGGTGAACTTACGCGATTTCGTTCAAGTAAAGGAAGAGCTCAAGGGCCGCCTGGCGAGTGGTCCCTTTGCTGACATTCATGACCTTGACGGGGACACCTGCAGAGCGAGAGAAAAACCACAGTGAGATGGGAAGGGGGGGCAAGCCAGGAAAAGGAGGGGGTGGGGGGCCCAACTGGACTTTGAATCACCTTATTAATGTCAAGAACACCCCTTTAAACATCACCTCCTGTGCGCTAAATAGAGGTGACAGATATGAACTCTAAATAACTTCTTAAAAAGGCGTGTCCGAGCTGCTTCGATCAGAAGGCTTTTAAAAAGAGAGAAAGAAACCCCCACACACAATACCAGACTTTTTTTTTTTAAAAAAAAAGCCTGGAGAGAAAAGAGGAATAAAAAGGCAATAAAAATTCCCCCCCCTCCCACATACAGCTCCCCCTTCCCACCCAGCCCCTCGTCCGCCCTTTTTTAGAAGCCTGAAATTGCGGCTAAGGCCTCGACTAATTAAATTTCACGCTTGCCCATTGTCTTCGGGCCTTGCACCTTCTGTTCCACCAGCCACTGGGGCCGGGCCGACGGAGGGGGGAGGGGGAGCAGGGCGGGAAGACCGAGGTGTGGGCAAGACCCGCACCCGGCCCCTATAATGTCTCTCTGGCGGACAAACCACCCCACCCATGTTGCCAGTTCACCGCCTGACAAAAGTGAATGGGAGCCTGTCTCGGGACCAGAGATGAGGAGTGGCTCCATGAATTCATTAGGGCACCTATTTATTAGTATTATTATTTAAAGGGTGGTAACAAAAAGGAGAGGGGAACCTTGAGGGTGGGAGGCCAGGGGGGGGGACCCATTCCCCCCCCCCCCCCCCGTAAGCTATGTGAAATGAGCAAAAAAATGTAGACAGAAAAGACACAGAGAAGGGGAGGGGGGCAGCCATGGGGGCCCACAAAAGAAAAGGGGGGGGAACCCACCTCGGTGAGCCCCGTTTGAGACCTAATCTCTTCCATCTGCCTTCCTCATTATCATATAGGGCTCCATCAATTGCTAATCAGGATTCAATGGCTTCCATTCTAATCTTTATAACCAAGGCGTCCACTGAGGCCTGCTGTGTAGCAAAGGGTCCCTGTCAACTTCTCCATTCTAAACCCTTTTATAGATATTTGGCGGGGCTGGGAGGGTTTATATACTGGGCTGTAAATTACGATTAAATGTAAGCTCCGGCGATAATGAACCCTAAGTCTCTTTCATGACGGACCAGCCACCTCCCCTTGTCGTCTCCCCCTCTTCGTTCTATTATCGTCTTTCGCCCGGCTCTTGGATGCCGTTCGCCTGGCAGAGCACAGGCATTGTCCGAGAAAGCTGCTTATCCTTTTTAAAATAGTTAATAATTAGATTAGAACTTCAAATAAATTAACTCGGGGGTAAACTGCAGCCTGTCAGAGGGGGAAGTGAGGCACCGGGTGAGAAGCAGCGCTTGAAACCCTCACCGGGCCTTTTCAGATCCTCAGGAAAGGAAGTTGGACTCAGACTCGGTGGAACTGAAGGAGCATCCAAAGGCCTCCGTGCTGCCAGCGAGTGAATTTATCTGAGGTTTAAATCAAATTATTAACTATATTCGGAAGGGTAAGCAGCTGTCCCGTGCTCCCTCGAATGAACAGCCTCCTGCAGCCAAGCAAAAGGCACCAAGAGCAAGAGGGGACAGACTTAAGATGACGGACAGGGTGGGGGGGGGCCTTGAAATGCAGGTCGTGAGAAATCATCAGACTCTTGACTAAAAATGAATTTAGGGACTGCTGTGGGTGTGGCCATCTTTGGCACGCTGTGAGCAGCCCTGGGCACCCTATCTCAAAAAGAGCATTGTAGAGCTGGATGGGACGCAGAAGAGGGCAACCGAAGGGACCAAGGGTTGGCACACCTTCCCTAGGAGGAGAAGCGAAGAAGTTTCACTTTAAGAAAAAAAGACATCCATGCATGGGGGCGTGGCAGGGGTCTAGAAAATGATGCCTGGGGCGATTCTGCACTGGCTTTTCCCTCTGCTGTTTTACGAAACCCATGTTGGAACAGAAATTCCCTGCTGCATGGCATGCTGCTTTCACTTCCTTTGATCGTTGGATTGTATGGCACCCTCCACACTGCATGCCACTTTCACTTTCTTTGATCATCAGATTTTATGGTACCTTCTGCATAGATTTGTGGCCATTCAGGGGTGACTTTGCAGTTAATACAGCGTTGGCCCGTGGTATCTGAAAGTGGTTTTGAGCTGCACTTTTTCCTCCCAGTTGAGAAAATCTGGAGCAAATGCTAGATGCAGAGTCACCCCTGGTGTACACAAAATGGAGAGAGAGAGAGAGAGAAATTTCTTCTCCTCCTGTAATACTAGGACTCAGGGGCACCCAATGATGGGCAGTAGATTCAGGACAGGCCAAAGGAAATACTTAGTCACACATCGCATAATTACCTCGAGACTGGATTACTGTAATGCCCTCTACATGGGGCTGCCCCTGTCGCAAATCCGGAAGCTGCAGCTGGTGCAAAATGCTGTGGCCAGGCTGTTGATGGGACTCCCAATTCGGGAGTACATCCAGCCTGTGCTAAAGGCCCTGCACTGGCTGCACTGGCTGCCTACAGCATACCGGATTCGCTTCAAGGTGCTGGTTCTTACCTTTAAAGCCCTTTATGGCCAGGGACCGACATACCTGAGGGACTGCCTTTCCCCATATATGCCCCGGAGAGCGCTGCGATCAGGGATCCAGAACTGACTGGTCCTCTCAAGTATCAAGGAGGCCCGGCTGGCAACAACTAGGACCAGGGCCTTTTCGGTGGCAGTTCCACTCTGGTGGAACGAGCTCCCGGAGGAGATCAGGGCCCTATGGGACCTTCTGCAGTTCCGCAGGGCCTGCAAAACGGAGCTCTTCCACCAGGCCTTTGGAGCCACCACTGCCACCACTACCATCACAACTATCATTGCCAGTATTAATAACAACTGACAACCTATGATGGAAGCCCTGATCTGCTGGCCCCTGTGACTACTGCCCGGCCTAGCCCCCTCCCCCCAACTGAATCAGACCCCAATAGAACTAAAGAAAAACTGAGGAATTGCTAGCACTTTTATATTATGTTTGATTTTAACATTGTTTTATATTACTGTATTATTATTTATTAGAAATTGTATTAAGTAGCAAATTGTGTTTTATGTATTATTAGAACTTTTATCCTAGGCCGGGAGGACGGGATAAAAATCAATAAAATCAATCAATCAATAAGTTATGGAATTTTTCTCCCACCAGAGATTATGCCAGCCGCAAGTTTAGGTGGTTTTAAAAAGGGACTAGTTTTCTAGTTTATTTATGTCTCGCTTTTCCTGTGGGTTGAGGACACCAAGGCAGTCTACCTTTGAATACTATTTTTGGGGGTGAGAAAACAATGGAGGGGGGTGTCGCTTTAGTACCCTGCTTGCAAGCTTCTGGACAGGGTTTTGCTGTTGTGCAAGGTGGACCTTTGATGTGAGTCATCTTGGCTCTTATGCACCACTGGGTTGCATGTGGAAGACCTGAGCATTCTCAGTACTACGAAGGGAGCTAAAAGATTCACGGGGTGTGGTCTTCCGTGTGCAGCAGCCTGAGCAATTGCCCAGGGCTCTGTACTGGAGGGCGGCAATGGCGGATGGGATGATATCCTCTAGGACTGAAAGAAGAATCCATCCATTACGTCACCCAGTAGCTGGAATGAACAATGTCATCCATTTCATTCTTCTCTGATAGCAGCAGAACAAACTTTTGAGTCCAGTGGGGCACCTTTAAGACCAACAAAGTTTAATTCTGGGCATAAAATTTTGTGTACATGTACACTTCTTCAGATACATGCATGCACATGGAAGCTTTTACCCAGGATTAAACTTTGTTGGTCTTAAAGGTGCCCCCACTGGACTCAAAAGTTTGTTCTGCTGCTTCAGACCAGCACAGCTACACACCTGACTCCGATGGCAACAGTTTGGACAACAAACAGTTCCAGATGTTTACCTGCCCTTTGGAAAAGAATTATTCCACTCATGCTCCTCAGTGGTAAAAAAATTTTAACAAGACCCACACCTGATCAATCCAGCTAGCACTGTTTGTCAGTCGCCATTGTCACAATGCAAACTGAGGTGCAGTTTTGAAGGGGCAGGCGTTGCAGAATTTGGAAAGCTTTATTTTTGTTCAGAGTGGGTTGATAAAGCGGGCACGGGGGGGGCATCCTTGACTCCTGCCCAGGGCCCCGGAATCACTAAGACGTCCCCTGAAGATTTAAGCGGGTTCATTGGTAGGTCACTGAGATGGCTTGTCACTGGGTGATTTTCAGCTGAATGTGCAAATGGATTCTCATGAAAAACACTGCGATCAAGTGGATTTCTTTCTGTTGCGCTTCCATCCACTCTGCCTCCCGTGAGCTCAAGATAGCGTACATGGTTTTCTTCCACATTACCCTTACAACCATCTTGTGAGGTAGTTTAATCTAAATGACTGGCCCAAGGTTACTCAGTGAGCTTCACAGCTGTGTAGGGATTTGAACCCAAGTCTGTCTGATCCTAGTCCAACACTCGAAGAAACCGATCCAGGGCACTGGCTCTAGGCACATAGGCAGCCAATACTATGGTAGTTTTGTCTGCCGTGTTAGATCTTGGACAGCCCTCATTCATATACTCCTCAGAGTCTCATTAAGTGATGGATGTGGGGGTGTACACCATTCATAGCACTTCCAAAAGGGCAGTTCAAAAGCAAGCGGAAGAGCAGGCGTCCTACCATCACTGTCCTTACCCTTCTTGAATTCAATCTCTAAGATGTCAGGAGTGTCGGGAGCTGTGGCAGGATCAGTTGTCTTGGTATAGAGTCCAGGAGGTGCCTGGTTCTGTAAGGAACGTTGTGAGAAATTACCCTGTGCACCTTTATCCCACTGCACATAGCCAGGGGCCAGCAAAAGCAGGGGCCAAAATGGATGCGATATTTCTGGGGCATCAGGACCAGTTTAAAAGCCCCCCCCCCTTAACCTTTGTACGCTTTTTCTCTCTCCCAAAGTGAGCCCTGAAAAACTGGCTCTGAACATTTCTGCAGGGATCAGCTTGAACTGGCGTAACATCATAAAACACCCCTAGTTCCGGGAGGAGTTTCCAACAGGTTTGTAAAATGTCTGTGTGCGACTCCCCCCAACTCCCAGCAATGCAAGAATGGGTAGATCAATTAATAAGTGTATGTGTGGTATATTTAAAAAGCAAAAGCAAAAACAGAACAGCCCTCCTGATATGCAAGATGGGCAGCTGGTTCCGTGTTCAATGCATGTGTAATGCTGGGCTCCTGCATTGGGTGAAGAACTCATTTTGACTGTGCTCTTTAGATCTTACATTTGTGTTTGTTCACCAGGTTTTCCTGCCTGGCCACAAATGCAGTATGGAAATCTAGTGCATCCATCATACCTCCAGAGAGAGTTCCACTGTCTGTTTGAGGAACAACAGACTAGTCCAGGGGTCCCCAATGTGGTGCGTCTGGGCACCATGGCACCCTCCAACCCTTTCCTGGCACCCACCAAGTATTTTTAGATAGTGGCCAGGGCCAGACATAGATAGATAGACAGACAGAACATAAGAGAAGCCATGCTCGATCAGGCCAATGGACCATTCAGTCCAATCCTCTGTGCAACACAGGGGCCAAAACCCAGGTGCCATCAGGAGGTCCACCAGTGGATCCAGAACTCCAGAAGCCCCCCCCCCACTGTTACCCCCCCCCAGCACCAAGAAGGCAGAACATCACTGGCCCATAAATAAAAACATAAGAGAAGCCATGTTGGATCAGGCCAATGGCCCATCCAGTTCAACACTCCGTGTCACACAGTGGCCAAAACCCAGGTGCCATCAGGGGGTCCACCAGCAAGGCCAGAACTCCAGCAGCCCTCCCACTGTGCCCCCCCCCCAGCACCAAGAATGCTGAGCATCACTGCCCCAGACAGAGTGTTCCATCTACACCTTGTGGCTAATAGCCACTGATGGACCTCTGCTCCATATGTTTATCCAATCCCCTCTTTAAGCTGTCTGTGCCTGTAGCCACCACCACTTCCTGCAGCAGTGAATTCTTTGGGTGAAGAAGAACTTCCTTTTATCTGTATGTGGACAGGATCTAGCTTATTATGTGTTCGTGAAGGGCAACAGTGGGAGGGCTTCTAGTGTCCTGGGCCCACTGATGGACCTTCTGATGGCACCTGGTATTTTTGACCACTGTGTGACAGAGTGTTGGACTGGATGGGCCGCTGGCCTGATCCAACATTGGCTTCTCTTATGTTCTTATGGCTCCCTACAGAATCCGTTGGCATGGGGCACTACAACGGCGACTAGCAGGAGGTGGAGGAGAAGAAGAGATTTGATTTATACCCTGCCCTTCACTTGGAGTCTCAGACCAGCTTACAATCTCCTTCCCTCCCTGACTCCCTGTGAGGTAGGTGGGCCTGAGGGAGCTCTTTTGAGGCCTGCTCTTGAGAGAACAGCTCTGAGAGAACTTGTGACTGACCCAAGGTCACTCCAGCAGCTGCATGTGGAGAAGTGGAGAAACAAACCTGGTTCTCCCATATTAGCATCCACGTTTCTAACCACTACACCAAACTGGCTGCAAAGACCTTTTGAGCAAAGGACCCTTCAAACAGATGGGAGATAGATCTAGTTGTGGCCACCATGAGAACTGGAAAGAGAACCCCCAGAATGATGTCCTCCGAGGTGCTGGAAACAGCAACAAAACAGGGATTGACTGGCCTGTTTGCATCCTTCTCTACAACATCTGGCCAGTGCAACAGCAAATACATCTGCTTGATGCTGTCCATTGTCAGGAAACAGAATGTTAAGATGGAAGGTTCATTTTTTTAGCAGACTGCTCTAGTCCAGCGGTTCTCAACCTTTTTGATATGGTGACCCACAAGTCTAGATTCACTTGGTACGGTGACCCAGCCAGGGCTGGGCCAAGGTTTTTTGGCACCCTAGGCTACCTATGTGTGCCATGGTGTCTTCGAGGTTAAGATGCTGAGCTGCAGACCGGAAGGTCGGTAGTTCAGCAGTTTGAGACCCGAGTGCCGCATGACAGAGTGAGCTCCCGTCGCTGGTCCCAGCTCCTGCCAACCTAGCAGTTCGAAAGCAAGAAATTGCAAGTAGATAAATAGATACCGCTTCGGTGGGAAGGTAACAGCGGTCCGTGCACGTCGGCGTTTAGTCATGCTGTCCACATGACTATGGAGAAGCTAGAGTCGGATTCGACTGGCTTTCGAGCAAGGGAAACCTTTACCTTTAGGCAATCTATGACCTTGGCACCCATCTAGTCCAGCATTCCATTTTCTACAGGGACTAACCAGATGTTTCTGAGAAACCAACCAACATCGCACAAAGGGCACAGCTGCCCCCACTGTGAACCCCAAGCAAGTGGCATCCCAACAGGCACAGCCCTTTGCAAAACGGAGGACGCATTCCGGCCTCTGACCAGCCTCCCCTTCTCCATGACTCCTTCTAATCCCAGCTAAGATTTTAAGAAACTCATCCTAGTGACCCTCAGGACACATTTTGCTTGGTCAGCATGTCCATGCAGGGAAGAAGAAATACCAGCTAGCGTATGACGTGGAAGATCCTGTTCCCAGGGTCAGATCTTGGTTTCCAAAACAACAAAGAGAGCAACACAATGGGAGGGCTGGTCTGCTGTCCATTGTCAGGAATGCTGTCCATTGGGGAGGGCTGGTCTGCAACCCACTTTCAGAGGCTTTGCAGCCCACTTTTGGGTCCCACAGGTTAGGAGACACTGATGTAGACCAGTGTTCCCTCTAAGCTGAGTTAGTGTGAGCTAGCTCACAGTTTTTTAGCCACCAGCTCACAGATTTTTGTCTTAGCTCAGGAAGGATGGCTCCAGAGCAAACTAATTCATGCAGCAGCCAAATCGCTCGCTCACAACTTTAATGCCAGGAGCTTACCAAGTAGAATTTTTGCTCACAGGACTCCACAGCTTAGAGGGAGCCTTGATGTAGACCATCAACTTTTTATGTTCTGGTTCATACCTGCCTATACCCTGGCTGCCTGCTCTTCGAGAAAAGCTGTACACCAGTGTTAATTGAAGTCGAACAGTTTGCATTACATCCACGCGTTCTTCCATGAAGATCCATCCCATCCAACATCCTGCTGATTGTATTTCTTATCCGGACTTTCAACCAATAATCAGGCTCCCGTAGCAGGTCATGTAAGAAGAGGAACTGTCCGCTACTGCTGGATCCGGGCACAGTGATGTTGCTGTATGCCCACCTGCTGATGACCCTATGGAATAGCAGCTGGCTGGATGCCACTCACAAACAGGACACGAATGTAACGATTTGGCTTTGTTTGCATCACGTATGCAGAGGTACACTGCTTTTGTTCATGGAGGCTCCACTGAGCCCCCATGGCTTTCCTTCAGCCCCGTTGCTTATTCCTAGGCATATACCAGCTAGAACTTTTTTTTTTAAAGCTACCCTAAAAACCTAGGACCGCAAAGGCAGCAAAACCCAACAAGAAGAGTTTATGATGCCTTCAAAAGAGGAGAGAGGGAGGGAGAGACGGAGATGACTGGGAACAAAGGGCCAGGGAAATCAGACAATTTTTTCCCCTCAACTTGATCTCATCTTTTTCTTTGACGCCCCCACAGCTGGAGATGGAATAGCTATGGAGGAACAAGTCACGCAGGAAGGGAAGTGTGACTTTGGCAGAGAGAAAGCGGGAGAGGGAGAGAGAGAGAGGGAGAAGCACAGCCCATACTCTTCCAGCAACCGAGAGACACAGACGTGCAGAGAAATGGGGCTTATTCTGCACTGACCGAAAAACTAATGACTACCCTTGACCCCAGCAGGTGCTGCTCTCGAATGCGCTTTCTGACGGTGTCCCCCCCGAGGTTAATACACCCAGGGGGGAAATAGAGGAACAAAGCAAAAACCCATTTCAAAACACATCAACCTTTATGTATATTTTTTCCCCTCCCTTGCCTGATTTTATAGCACAGAGGTGTCTTATCTCTTAAAGTCGGGCCGGTGGAAAACGGCCACATTCCCATAATTAGTTTATGCCTCGGGCGCTTCTGATGAATTTTCACATTTGGAGGCATGCAATAAGTGGAGGGTGGAGCAGAAAAAACGAGCCTTTTTTTTTTTTTAAGGAATCTGTCTCTGGGAAAGTGGAGCTTAATGCCCGTCTCCTGTTTGCAAGCCATGCAATTTCGCAGGAACCTGCTCTTAAAGACCCACCACACATTCACATGCAAAACTCACACCCTACATCAAAGAAAGGCACAACAGAGAACCTCTGGGTCTTCTAGGCCCAAACACGGGCCTAAAAGCCACAAGAACATATTTGGTCCAGTCATTCACAGGTGCCATTTCGAGATGCAGGCTGCAGAATCTACATTCAGTCTACCCATAGCTGAAACTTCCAGACAAGGCCTCCCACAGTTAGGAATGGGCTTGAACCAGCTCACAAACTAAAAGTTCATCATGAATTTTGGCCGGTTTGTGGTTTGTGAAGTGATGTTTGGAAACTGTAAAGCCACCACGAACTTCCACAAACTTTAAGGCAGTTCATGGCAGCTGGCGAAGAGCAGCAAGCAGGGATTTAAATGACTTAGAGCCATTTAAACCCCTGCTTTCTGCTCTTCAAGAAAAACAGCAGAGCACCAAGGAGAAGAAAGCAGGGGTTTAAATGGCTCAGAGCCATTTAAACCCCTCAGAGCCATTTAAAACCCTGCTTTCTCCTCCCTGCAAAAAGTGACAGGGAGCAGAAAGCAGGGGTCATGAACTGATATGAACTGGTTTGGTTCATGAACCAACATATCAGTTCATGATTTGGTTTATGGTTCAGCCACAAACCATGA